CCGCCGCCGGCGCCGCCGCTCACTCGGCCATCGAGGAGAAGGTGATGAAGGGCATCGAGGAGAACGTGCTGCGGCTGCAGGGCCAGGAGAAGGCGGCGGCGGGCGGCGAGGCCAAGGCGAAGGCGGCGGGCGGGCTGGCCAGCTGGTTCGGGCTGCGGCGCAGCAAGCTGCCGGCGCTGAGCCGCCGTGCCGACGGCGCCAAGGGCCGCGAGGGCGCCCGGGCGGCCGCGCGCCGCCTCGACGCCGAGAGCCTCAACATCTCGCGCCTCATGGAGAAGGCGGAGGACCTGCGCAAGGCGCTGCAGGAGGAGCAGGCGTTCCTGCACGGGCTGGCGCTGGAGAAGGGGCGCGGGCGGGCGCGCGCCGCGGCGCCCGGCCCGCTGCAGCTCGTCTACCACGAGGTGACGGCTGAGACCTTCATGCAGCAGCTGCTGGACAGGTCGGCGGGCGCCCCGGCGCCGTGCGGGCACGGGGTGGTCAGGGGCGGCGCGGCGGGTGCAATGAGGTGGGGGTTATTGGGGGTTATTGGGGGGGTTGTTCTTCAATGTGGATGGGATTTGGGGTGCAATAAGCTGGGGGTTATTGGGGCAGTTCTTCAATACGGATGGGATTTTGGGGTGCAATAAGCTGGGGATTATTGGGGGGTTGTTCTTCAATATGGATGGGATTTGGGGGTGCAATAAGCTGGGGGTTATTGGGGTTCTTCAATACGGATGGGATTTGGGGGTGCAATAAGCTGGGGGTTATTGGGGCGGTTCTTCAATATGGATGGGATTTGGGGTGCAATAAGCTGGGGATTATTGGGGGGTTGTTCTTCAATATGGATGGGATTGGGGGGGGTTTCTGGGGGTGCAAAGTTTGAGGGAGATTTTTTTTCAGTGTTTCTGGGGCTTGGGAGGGAGATTCTGGGGGGGCAGGATTTTGCACCCTGGGGGCTACTCTTTTCAGCATTTCTGGCATCTGTCGGTGCTGGGGATGCCATAATTTGGGGTTGACGGGGCCGTTTTCCCCGGCACGCTGTTGCCGCAGGGTGGACGGCAAGGACGTGTCCCTGGAGAGCCGCCTGGAGCACAAGCGGCAGCTCTGCGAGCGGCAGCGCCTCTCGCCCGACGCCAAAGACCCGCGGCTCTGCCGCGCGCCCCGCAACGGCATCGTGGGCCACGCGCGGGGCTGCGCCGAGCCCCCCGCCAAGGTGCGTGTGCCCCCCGGGGTCCCCTCGCCCCCTAGGGTCCCCCATGCCCACCGCATCCCCTGGGGTCCCTGTGTCCCCTGGGGTCCCTGCACCCCCCATGTCCACCACGTCCCCTGGGGTCCCCGCGCCCCCTGCGTCCCCTCGGGTCCCCCGCGTCCCCTCAGGTCCCCCACATCCCCCGTGCCCCCTGCCTCCCCCATGCCCCCTGCGTCACCTGGAGTCCATGTGCTCCCTGGGGTCCCCACGCCCCCCCCATCCCCTAGGGTCCCCCGCGTCCCCTCGGGTCCCCACATCCCCTAGGATCTCCCATGTCCTCTGGGGTCTCCCGTGTACCCTCGGGTCCCCCGCGTGCCCTGGGATCACCCATGTCTCCCGTGTCCCCAGGGCTCCCCATGCCCTGCACCCCCTGGGCTCCCCATGCCCCCCGCGTCCCCTGGGGTCCCCCGCGTCCCCTGGGGTCCCCGCGGCCGCTCACACGCTGCCCGTGCCGCCGCAGGGCGCCGAGCTGGCGCTGCGGGACGAGCTGCCGTCAGACGAGAGCCTGTCGGAGTCGGGCACGTCGCAGCACTTCCCAGGTGAGGGGGCTGCGGGTGGAGCGTGGAAGGGGCCGCGGGGACCCCAGGGGCCGCGGGCGGCGGGTGCTGAGCGGCCACTGGCACCCACAGCCTGCGGCTCCCTCACGCGGACGCTGGACAGCGGCATCGGCACCTTCCCGCCGCCCGATTACTGCGGCGGGGCGCCCGCCAAGAGCGCGCCCCGGCCGCGCGCGCGCCCCGAGCC